CAGGTGTTAGAAGGGCAGCAAGGTAATCTACAAGGCTGCATCTACGTCCCTATTTAGGGGCGCTTGGGTAAATGGGTAAATAGGTAAAGCTCCGAGCCATCAATATCCCTCAAACTACCCCTATCTACCCCCTATCAACTTCACAGGGTGAGACTTGGGTCTGTTTATGTGATATATGAGAAGTTGTTGAATGTATAAATGGTTCGTTTGAGGCTGTGGGTAGAGGGAGTGGACTGGGGGTAGTGTGGGATAGACTGTGGGTAGTGGGGGGTGGACTGGGATAGTCAGTAATGGAACAAAGGGAAAAGATTTTGTTAAAAATAAGAATTGAGTTGTTAATTAACACATATTAACTAACCTGACCACGAAGTGAGGTCTTACTCAGTTCTTCGTCAAATCTGGTCCTTAAAGGGGTTAAAGGAGGTGGCTTCCAGAACTTCTTATTTCGAAGCATCACCCGTGCTGGGTTCTGGTACGTCCATACATTTATTTTATTTGAGTTTCCGGCGTCTAAGTTCTCGTAATTTCTCTCAATATAAACATTTCTGTTCTCATTCGCCTAACCATTCCCCGCAGGTATTTTGTATGTAGTGATCATGTCCCCCATCTCTCTGATTTTACTCTTTAGGATTGTGAGAGTAAATTTTTAAGAATTGTTTGGTCTTCTTTAATTCAGGCGCGAGATTTGTTATAATATTCTACACTCATTATATTTTAGGTTTGTGCCTCACAAGGTGTAGACTCCGTGCTAGCGATGCAGATTGGTAACGTTCTCACGTACGTTGTGTAGATCGTTTAAACAGACAATCCGGATAAAGTAGGAAGCTGTTCAGATATAAGAAATATTACACCAAAACATTTCATAGTCTTATAGAAACCACTTGGGCTGGACGGTAGAGCGACGGTCTCGCTTCATGCAGGTCGGCGTTCAATCCCCGACCGTCCATCAACCCACCATTCCTTTCCCCCCGTCCCATCCTGAATCCTTATCCTGACCCCTTCCAAGTGCTTTATAGATCTAATGGCTTGCCGCTTTTCCTTGATAATTACCTCCCTTGCACGTCACAAGGCGAGCTGGTTTGGGTTCGAATCCTGGCCAGGGAAGATGAACTAGATGACTATCTTTAACTGCTCGCGCCTCTTTCCCCAAGGGAGCCGGTCGGCCGAGCGGACAGCACGCTGTACTTGTGATCCTGTGGTCCTGGGTTCGATCCCAGGCGCCGGCGAGAAACAATGGGCAGAGTTTTTTTCACCCTATGCCCCTATTACCTAGCAGTAAAATAGGTACCTGGGTGTTAGTCAGCTGTCACGGGCTGCTTCCTGGGGGTGGAGGCCTGGTCGAGGACCGGGCCGCGGGGACACTAAAAAGCCCCGAAATCATCTCAAGATAACCTCAAGATAGCAGTAATTAGGGATCTCATTGTCAACCGATTGTCGGATTGTGTTCTAGGGGAAAGCGAGCAGGATAAGGCTTATCATCATCAATGATGATTAGCTGATGGAAATGTCTTAAACTGCCTAACAAGGGGCAAAATCATCTACTTATGCGCCTATGTAAAAAAAAAAAAATTGGGAGGCTTACTTTATTTCAATAAAATCATCATTAAAATATCATCAAGAAAATCTGCTTAAAAGTGACGTACGAAATTAACATGTCGCGGCAGTAATTGCTAAAATATTACTCCATCAGTGTTCTTCCTGATCTCAACTTTCGATTGCTGGCCACGTTACACGGAATTGAGAAACTGACACTTTGGCTGAGATGGGTTAAGTTTTTAAGAGGCTTTCCTGGCTCTCTTCTAAAGGAATGTGTTCTTGCAAGCGAGAGTTCGAGTCGGCGTCTGCAATTGCAGGGTTAACCCCTAACCCCCCCACCCACCACCCCAACCCCACCCCAACCCACCCCAACCCCACCCCCAACCCCCCTCCAACCCCCCCCCCCCCCCCCGCCCGGCGTCGATTGTTACAACAAAAATGATTCTGTATGAAAGCCTTATTTGCTAGCAGATATGAAGAATGTTTAGGGGTCCAAACCAATCAACTTGAAGTATATATATATATATATATATATATATATATATATATATTATATATATATATATATATATATAATATATATATATATAAACAACCTCATTACCAAGTGTGTGTTAACGGGCTCGACAACCACTACTTAATGATAGTCAGTAGTTCATAGCCCTTATACCAGGAGGGCATAAGGCTCAAATTCTCCCTATGCCTGGCGGATTCTCTGCCCATAGTTCGAAGATTGTAATCTGCGCTTCAGAGCGCTTCATAGAGCCATATTGCGAGGCTGTGTCCATTGTAGGCAGGTGAGGGGGGGGAAGGATTAGTGTGTGCTCATCACTGCGTCAACAACAGGTGACTCGATCCGCTAAAGTCCGGCTTTGATGC